CAGCTGCTCAAAACACTTTGCGATGATGAAGGAACACAACCGAGCGCCCCGTCTACCAGACCCCACCCCCAACCACCTGTCGGCACTGACATAACGCTAAACTAGCGGCTCGCAATGCAGGTGTGCTAGTTAAAAAGCTAAAGGCAGCCTCTTCCCTCATGCTGAACCGTCACGCTGAACGCACCCCCGCCACTCAAAAACTGTTGGTACAAACAGTGCTCAGATGTGTGTCTGCCCACCCCACCCCACCCCCCAAAAAAGGGATGAGATGAGTGCCCCACCATGACAAGTTTTCTAGCAGAAACACTGATCTCCTTAGATGTTTTCTCTGCTTGATGCCAATGATGTGATCCTTCTCAAACAGACTGACATCTTTTCCACAACCACGCGATGTGTCTTTCCACATGGTTGTTTAAGAAATGAGAAGCAATTCATTGCACCAGTTGGGGTTAAATCACTTGTTGCCAGATGAAAGATAATCACCCATGTAGTAATTATCCAATAGGAAGCTCGTACCTATCTGCTTCGTTAAATCCAGGTGGTAACTTTTTTTTTGGACCAGGCCGTGCATTTCCTGAAAGATCTGACTTATTTTGTAAAGCTAAACTGAGCTGGTTGCTCAGGCACTCATTGTAAGAAATTTGTGAACTGGTCTGAGTTTAAGTATGTGTTTTGAATTTGTCTCAGCTACCACCACACCAAATTTTATCTCAGCATTTGTCAAATTGACTGTTACATCCATTTTTGTGTTTTTTAAAGTCACTTGGCTGCGGTGGCCGTCTAAAGTGTGTTTGACACCAAAGTTTAAAGAGCTGGTGTACATCCAGTGATCACTTTCTGAAATTTTCATTAACATTCAACCAGTGGTTGACTCGATTAGTCAAGTTCAGTTGAGTTTTACGAACAGATCTTGAACAGTCAGCTAGCTCTCTGAGTATAAATTGGGAGTAACTCAGCGACTACCACACCAAATATGTCAATGTGTCTTTTGGCGTCATCTCATACAGATTTCTTTTTGCCCAGCTGCTGACATTGTAAGCCGTTGTGTACGATTTATGGTCTTGTGTAGGGAAGTAAGTGCTACCAGCTCAAAGAGGACAATCCTTGTGTTTACTTTCTCCTGGGCTGTGCTTGACTGCTGGCATTTATGTGGACAGGCCTCATTCACACACAGTATTAGGGATATTGTTTGACATATCCAAGCTGAGATAGGTGAAAGTTGAAACGGCTTGAAGTGCAGCGGTTATCTTAAAAAAACAAACCCTACGACTACAATCATCAACTTCCTTCTGTTTCCCAACTGCTTTGTTTGTCTCTTTCTAAGGAGTGAGCCACTTTTACTGGATTCTCAACAAATAATTAATCAGACCAAATGGTTTTACAGCATCATCTTGCTCATGCATAATAAATTAGTTATTTAAAATGTTGGAAGGACTCTGGAGTTTTTCTTCTGCGTTGTTGATCTGACAGTGCAGCTGGGGTTCTCAGTCAGCAAGGCCTTTGGTTTAACCTTGATCCACTGTTATCTGTGCAGTCTGGCAGTAAACGACCCCCCCCCCCCCCCCTTCCAATAACAAGTTAAATTTTAGTGGTCACTACGTTTCTCAAAATAATTTTTTGTTAGTTGAAACATGCTTAATGATTTGAAGCTTTTAAAGTTTCCTCATAGAAAAGTCAACAAAGAGGTGGGGAAACTGTTTTCTGTGGTCACTGCTTTCGTGAGGAGGTTTCCAAGTGTGCATGTATGACCGAGGACTTGATTCCACCCCCACCGTGCGCATTCTTTTTCCTCTTTTGAATACAGCCTCAGTCACCAGCCAAACACGGCTCAACCACGGGGACAACAGCCGCTTTAAAATATCTTTTGGACCCGCAGCTACAAGTTTCCGACTTTTCTGTAAACCAGGGATTGTCAGGATGTCTTAAAGCGCCACCAGACATTTTATCCAGTGTTTATCAATCAACCTTTATTTATACAGGTAAATCCCATTGAGCCTCGAGGACTCATTTACAAGAGAGACCTGATTTCAACAAAGAAATATGACAACAATGGACAACAGCAACAACAATAAGCAGTTATAAAAACTCATACTACAGTTTTTTTTTTGTTTTTTTTTTAACAAATAGGATGGCTAAAAGGAAAAGGGTAACAAAACAAAAAAAACAGCTAGATTCCAAGACAAATGTATAAAACTAAAAACAGGAACATGTCTGCATTGGTCCCTGCCAGGAGTCCAACAGATTCTTAAAGCCACTTAGAGAGGTCAAGGTCGAGAGCTTCAAATCTTTTTGTAAGATGTTCCAGGAAACAGGAGCGGAGTAGGAGAAGGCCCTTTTGCCTAGTTCAGTCCTCACTGAGGGAACACTGCAGGTAATGATGTCCTGAGAGCGCACTCCGTAGCTGCACTCACGCAGAGACATGTAGGAGGAGATGTATGAAGGCAGCAGACCAAGAAGTGATTTAAAGATGAAAATGTACCAGTGAGAGAGTCTGCGTGAAGTTAATGATGTCCAGTTAACCAGTGAATACAGGGTGCAGTGGTGGGTACGATAATCACAGCCAGTTATGAATCTTAGTGCACCATGACAGACAGCATCCAACATCTGCAGGGTTCTTGTAGGAGCATTCATGTAGTTTAGTTGAGATGTTTCATTCCTTTCCTGTTTTCCTTCCCTGTCATCCGCAGCCTGTTGCTCTTCTCTCTCCTCTGATGTATTTTGTTACGTAACTCTTCTCCCCCAGTGTACAACATAAATATATTTTTTGTATGCTGCCCTCATCTGATATAATAGATGGGTTCAGTGTACAAAGTCACCCTTTGTTTTGGAACTTGTTGTTGTCTTAACTTAATATTGGACCAAGCTTTTGTGTAGCCTTTGTGAGAAATAGAACTTAAAGGTCATTTGCCAGTTTGTCTGCAAAAATGGCACAGAATATTTCTTTGCTTTCTTTCTTACAGAGGATATGTCCTGGCCTCACATTGCCAAGTATATGCATATTTTTTACTTTGTTTTTGTGTATTTCTTCTTGACTCATATTGCCACGGTGTTCTCAACACTGCGATAGATGAAACTCTTCCTGCAAATGTTTAATGCCCAACAGAAACACACTGTAGAACAGACTCACCTTCAAATCTTTGATTCCTTCCAACTCTTTATTTTGTCTGCAGTTCTATAAGTCGTTGATTTTCTGTGTCCTTGTCTAATTTTGATAACATTGTTTTGATAAGTTTGTCTGTTATTGACTTGGTTTTCTACCCAATGTCTGCAGCTTTTTTTGTTTTTTTTTGTGCAACATGATTCAGGTTCAGATTTGGTTTATTTGTCATATGCAAATCAACACAAAGTCAACAATGCAATGAAATGCTGAGGACGAGAAGAACTCTATCGACTCTCCAAAAAAAACCAACAAGAAATACCAAAGCATTCAACAAAAATACAGAAACAAGGCGCCAAAAGTGAAAAATAAATACAACTACAGCAGCATGGTCCTATTAGCAGAGTGGTTCTGTTGGCACCATGGTCCTGTTAGTATCATGGTCCTGTTAGTATCATGGTACTGTTAGCGGCGTGGTCTTGTTAGCAGCGTTAGCAGTTGTTGTTAGCAGGTGTTGTTAGCAGGTGTTGTTAGTAGCAGGATCCATTAGCAGCATGATGATAACAAGGACCACAGCAGCTGCCCTCCCAGACCGCCCTCCAGAACCGGGTCCTGCAGACGGAGAACGTCCAAGGTTTCCCTGCGGAACTGAAATGTTCCGTAGAGTTTGGTCCTTGCAGGTAGATGGAGGATCATGGAGATGGCCGCCATGACAGGCCGGTGCCTGAGGCTGGAAGGACTGAACCTTGATAGCAAGGCAGCAACACAGAAAACTCCAAAAGTGCATCGCGGTCATACCCGTAGCGTGGGTGCTCAGTGTAGGAGCAAAAAAATTAAAACAAAAACAACAGGAATAAAAAATGAGCGAGTCGAAGTGGAGCTCCCGTCAGTGCTGCCGTACTGCGACGCAGGTGACGTCACGGTCATGGTCATGGTGTTACTTTGTGTTATATTTAAAATACAATTTTACCAAGAACCGCCATCTAAACATTTTTATTTGTTCCAAGTTGATTTTTGTTCATACTTTATAGAGATAGTATACAGTAGTCCCTCGCTAATACTCGTTCGTTTATCGCCGACTCTCTCTATTGTGGTTTTTCAAAGAAAGATTGGACATGACACACAATTGGCCGATTGATGGATGAGCCACACGATCGGCATGGGATTTTTATTTAAAATGAATTATTTAAAATTATTTAGCACCTGCTGCACCTTCATGCAGCCCATAGTGCAGGATAAGCTTCCTGCTGCAGCTGATCAGCTGTTTCTCCATGCAGAGCGGGGAAGTGGGCGTGGCCAAGAGCGCTTGCAGGTGACTGAGTGCAGCGTGGCAGAGATAAATTGACATTGTGCTCTTTTAAAGCGTTTAGAGTTTAGAAACATTGTTTACTATTATCTCTACTTGGTGGTTTTTCACTTATCGCAGGGCTTCAGGGTACGGATTCCCCGCGATAAACGAGGGTCTACTGTAGATCTTTTAAAGTGGTGTTCTTAGGAAAAGCTGTGAATAATAATTCAAATCTTACCCTTTTTGTAGAAAGCTCTTTGCAGAACCTTGAAAAATAATTTAATTATGACCCGAGTGATGAGCTCACGGTTAGTCTGAGCTGGGTCAAGATGAGTCGTTCAAGGAGCTATCTACAACAGGTAAGACAATAATGGTTCATAACTTTTATCTGGTGCCAAAGGTAAAGAAGCAGAAGTGTACTACTATGGTACTATAATATCGTCAACTCGTTTTTTTTTCTTTGCCTAAATAGGAAGATAGATGTGGCAGATTGTTTGGTGTTTCTGTTATAATTTATTGTTGAAGCAGTTTTTGTCATATTTTTCCTTTTTAAAATGTATTTTGTAAACCTCTCTGTGGTCATCATCCCCTTCATTCTCCTGCCTTTACTCACAGGTCCCAGAGGTAATCAGTAGTATTCGACAGGTGTCCAAAACGACCCTAAAGGAAGAGGCCAAACCCAAACAGGAAGCAGACGAGGCCTTCTACAACTCGCAGAAGTTTGAAGTGCTGTACTGTGGCAAGGTAAATACCAGGTTTTGACAATAGTGTGTTTTTATAAAATACAGTTTCAAAACAAAAGTTTTTGGATTTAAAAAAAATCAAACAATCCAGGTGATGGTTGACCACAAGAAAGCTTCGGTCACCCTGATTGATGACTGCATTGACAAGTTTCATCAGCACGAGACCGAACGAAACCGTCTCCGACTGCTCAACGGTCAGCGATGGTCTATGGAGAGCACGTCTCTGGAGTTACTGGTGGAGGCAGAAGGAGACCCACTTTCATCTGCCCTGAATAAGAATGAGGAAAATAAAGCTGAGGAGGAGGCTATGCTCACAGGTAAATATATTTATTTTTCAATTTAAGTTAACAGGTGTCGTGTTAAAAATGAGCAGGTTGTAGTGGGAGTGAGTGATCGGTTTAGTGTCTGTCAATAAAGACTTGACATTACTTCCAGCATTGTTTAGGAGTAACAATAAGATCATGGCCTAACTAAAAAGTACTCAAAATACCTTGGAGTACTAGACTTCAAATATACCACCCGAAAAGATTTTGTATATTTTATACATATAATATTGTTACTAGAGCCTGACTAGTACGGAAATTTTGGTTATCGCTGATACTGATATAGATCAGGGCAGGTTAATGCTGATAATCGATATAATGGCTGAAAATTTTTGAGCTTTGTCCACCTCCAAGAATCTAAATAAACATCTACTTTTAAACCTGTTTTAACATTGAAGTCTTAAAACAGTCTTCCTAACGTGCATTCACATTTTCTATTTTCCACTATTCACCATAAAGTTATCAAGTGTGTTACAAAAATATTAAGCAATAAATTAATCAATATTAAGCAAAGAAACGTCCTTTGCTGTTCATTGTTTAAACAGTCAGTCACGTATGGTGAAGGCCCAATTAGTTTTGACCGCAGCACTTTATTATTTTTCTCAGCAGAGAAGGAAAGATTTCATACAAACAATGAATTTTATTGAGGATGTCAAAGATAACGTTACTAACATATATTATATCTCTGCGTTAGATTTATTATTCTCAATAAAGTTTTACAAGGCTATGCTAGGTTATCTAAACATTAGCTTGCTGACGTGAGCGGCACGTAGCAATAATGTTTCACAAGCAGGTTGGAGGATTGAAGAGAATTGATTGTTGATTTTTTTAAAAATTTTTACAGATAAGTTAAAATAAGCTTTGTTCAGCAAAATATGCTACACAGTATTGTTCCCGGCTTCGACTGTGCTGAAAGTGAAAGTTAAAGTGAACGGCCATGACTTGAAAACATGCTCCCTCTGCTGGATACATTGTACAATTACAGTGTTTACATCAATCAGCACATAATGGGACAATTATCACCGATACTGATACAGTATGTCCCCAAACGGGCAATATCGGACTAAAATATCGCTAGTCTCATTGAGTCACGAGAACTCATTTTCAAGAGAGACCTGTTTGTGAGCAGATGGTGGAGGTTAAGGGCCTTGCTCAGGGGCTTTTCCACCCACATTTTTTGATGTTTTCAGTCTGGGGAGTTGAACCTGCGACTTTCCGATCACAGGCCCATCTTCTCTAACCTCTGTTCCACCACTCCCGCGGTGGATGCTGCTGATGTATCGGTCTTGTGTTTTGTCACGTGTGTTTCAGTTAAATGTCCGCCCAGCAGTACCAGTCAGACCAGTCTGCGGGGAGCGTTCCCCGAGTGCATCCTGGAGGACTCTGGATTCGAGGAGCCCCAGATGTTCCGCACACGTTGCAGCAGCCTGGCAGGAAACGTGCAGAGGAAGCCATGTGATGGTGGCATCATGGGGCCCGCCCGCCGCAGGCACGCCAGTGCGCCAAACAACGTGCAGCCGTCCGATTCGGACAAGAACCGCACCATGCTCTTCCAGGTAGAGGAAATCGAACGCAGCAAAGCAGCACTGATGCAGACGTCTTATTTACATCCTGACCAAATAGTTTTTTTTAAATCTAAAAGTATTTGGGTCAACTAATCATTATTTTCACTATATCTTTATTGTAATATAAGGAATGTCTGCTAAATCTGTTTGCTGCAAAGACAGTCAGCATGCAGTGTTCTCCAGTCTGAAGAATTTTCAGTGAGCTGGATCAGTTTTTCTTCAGATACTTGATTCCAGCCGTCTGGCTCAAAAACTAAATGCTTGCTCGTTTCACTGCTGCTTGTCACTGAATCTGCTCCTGCGTTCAGGCTGCTCCACCTCTCTCTGCTTTAAATCATTTCTGTGTGTACGTGGCTGCCAGTTGTAATGTGCAGGTTTGCTCGGTCCTTCTCTTAACTGCTTCACTTGATTACACTTTAACTCCTGCGACTAAAGGCTAATTTATTGAAAACTTGCGGTCTGCAGTGTGAACCAGCTGCCATTCCTCACACATGTACCCATTTTCTCATGAGGCTAATTTAAAAAACTAGAGCACAACGCTCAATATGAAACTCTGCAGCAGTGAATTATGGGCAAAAAAATCATTGATGTAGGCTTGCTGGCCTCAGTTTAAAGCATGTGTTTACACCTGTTGGTAAATGTTTGGTTGTAATTAAAAACTTGATAAGGACGTCCATTTTGATTAAACTTGTCATGTCAGAATTTATTTCTATATCATGTTTAAAGGTGACTGTAACTGACTTAAATGCTTTACAGTTTTAAAATACTATAGTATTTAGGGATGCACAATATTATTGGCACGGTATCTGTATCGGCCAATATTAGCGTTAAATTTCAATATCGGCCATTCCATTAAAATAACTCGCCGATATAAAAGACGCTGTTTTTGCCTGCAGCGCAACGCGATGACGTCACGCGCGCTTACCCAATCTCACGGTGGAGAGGAAAATTCAAAATGTCGGTGGTGTGGAAGTTTTATTTTTCGTTGGTGAGGATGTCAGATTCCGAAGATTTATGGACTACATTGAGCCTCGTTACATCGTCCGCAGTCTGAGATATTTTTCCAACTTTGCCTTACTTGACTTACAAGCCGCCATTTCCAACGTCATTGAGAAGCTAATAGTCAATAGCACGACTTGTTGGGTGAGTTTTACCACAGACATTTGGACGTCGTGTTAGCCCCGTTAGCAGGATTAGTCTTACGGCAAAATGGATAGACAAAAACTTTGAACCTCGGGAAACGTGGGCCTTTTGAGTGCAGAGGATCCCACACTGCAGCTAGGAACCTGGAACAAGCCTCCACAAGTGAGACAGCATCACAGGTGACTAATGCTAATAAATAACATTTAATACTTTTCATTTAATATAAGTCAAAGTGCTATGCATATCATATGACTGTTACTGAATATATGTCACCAGCTCTTACAGCTGTTGCACAATTTTTGTAGCAAATAAGCCTAAATAAGGGTTATGTTCTGACAATATTGGTATCGGCATCGGTTATCGGCCAAATAAGTTTTAACATATCGGCATATCGGATATCGACCAAAAATCCAGTATCATGCATCCCTAATAGTATTTAAATAATAAATAATAAAACAACTACCGTATTTTCCGCACTATACGTCGTTCTTGAGTAAAGGTCGCATCAGTCAAAGAATGTCTCATGCGGCGTCGCTTCGGAGAAGAAGTTGCATTTATTATACATCACCGCTGACCCCCGGGAAACATGGGCCAGTGTTGTGCCAAAAATCGATTGGCTGCCAAAAATAGATTAGCGACCACATGTATTAAGACCGCTGTTGCAGGTCTTCAAAATTTAACAAGATTCACACCTAAAAACAAAAATTTGTTTGCTTGACATTATGGCAAAGGTGTGTCTCAGTTTAACTTTTCCTTAATAAATGCACTTTAATGGTCAAAACAGCTTCATTTCGCCTGGACGGTGCGGTCGCGTCGCACTGAGAACAGTCTGTCCCGATCGGCAGCCGTGCCCCATCCCTCTGCCGCCGGAGCAAGGAGGAAGCGTGCAACAAGATGCGTGGTCTGCAGCCCCGGGAGGCGGCGAGGTGCAGGTAGGGGAGCTCTGTGGCGCTCGTGTCAGGAGTCGCGGGCTCTGCAGCGTTCCTCTGCAGCCGGAGCAGTTCATGTTTGATTTAGTTCATGTCCGTATGAATGAAAATTTTAACGCGTCAGTCAAAAATTGTCTCAATAATAGGAAAAAAAAATTATATAAGTCACTTTGGACTATATGTCACAGGACTGGCCAAACTAAAAAAAATTAAAAAACATCAACTTATAGTCCAGAAAATACGGTAATAATGATAACTTCAATATAACAGTTGAGCAGAATAAAATAACAAACATTAAAAAATTAATTAAAGTTTAAACTATGATCATCTTGTGATGATAAATAACAGTTTTAGTTGTTTTGGTCAAACCTTAAAAAGAACTTCATGCACAATTTCATGTAATTTTTATGAAATCTCATCCTCAGTGTATGTGTTGTAAATAACTTTACTACCATGTTAAATTTTAGCTTAAAGTGCCGGTGACATCAAATTGTTGTAATAAATATGAACACATAATTTTTTTGTATTGCCAATAAATAAATACCTCTAAGATGAACTGTTACTGAGGTGTGTGCATGTGCAGTAACAGGAAGTGATGTAAACAGAGCAATGCAATGGCTGACAGTAGAGAAGAATCTGACATGTCTTTAGATTATTTAGAGTCACTATATCAGAGTCAGAGTTTCTTTATTGTCATTCGCACCTCATGTGGTACATGTGGTGGAGCGAAATTATGTACACAAGGTCCCAGTTACATCCAACAATAAAATGTATAAGAAAAACAGTAATAACATCTAAGATATGAACTAAGAAAAACATCAACTAAATATACACTAAGCACTCATAACATAAAACATTGAACATCAGCACAAACATGAACATGAGTCTGTGAGCGGATGTGCACGAGATATGAGAGAGACAAAGAAGAGTCCGAGTTAAAATAATAATGTTTCAATAAACAAAGACCAGGGAGTTCACCTTTAAGCTTTCCCCTTTAATGTCACTTTGTTTCACTTTAGCCACACCAAGTTAAAAACACGGCAATTATGTGACAACATGGATAAAATCATGTGTGTTAAGCCCAGTTCTTTAAATAATTAGTTGTTTTCTTTCACTTTTTGTATTTGTAGGATGTGTTTGTCACAAGCACTTTAATATTTAAAAAAAAAATGACTGAATTGAGGCGTTTTTGTGTGTTTGCTAACGTTGAGCTGTGGAGGTTTTTTTATTTATTTAAACTGAGGCTCAAAAGTAATCAGGTGCGGCTCTATATTCAATGCTAACTTTCTAAAATTTCATAACAATTTGTTCACAAGGTATTTTTCTGACAGACAAAAATGGTTGACTCCATTTCCAAAGTTTTAGGCACAGTTCTCACACCAAGTGTTCATGTTTAAAGTGTTTGATGGGGATGACTCTCAGCTCGGGCGGCACGGTGGCTCAGTTGGTAGAGCTGTTGCCTCTCAGTGAGAAGGTTGCCGGTTCAAATTCCAGCACAGGACTTTTCTTGGGGGAGTTTGCATATTCTCTCCGTGCAGGCGTGGGTTTTCTCCGGGTACTCCGGTTTCCTCCCACAGACCAAAAGCATGCATGTTAGGCTGATTGGTAACTCTAAATTGTCCCTAGGTGTGAGTGAGAGAGTGAATGGTTGTTTGTCTCTGTGTGTCCCTGTGATGGACTGGAGACCTGTCCAGGGTGTCCCCCGCTTCTCACACAGTGACTGCTGGACATGGGCACCATTGACCCCCATGACCCAAAAAGGAAGAAGTGGGTAAAGATAATGGATGCAGTGTTTTCCCTAGATAACTTGCCATGGCGGGGCGCTCATCTCGTCAGTGGTTTTTTATTTTTCGACTGGGGAAGGGGGAACACGTCTGAGCTGCACGCTGTTTGTACCGTCAGTTTTCAAGCGGGGGGTGTCAGCATAAAGGAAGAGGCAGCATGAGCACTGCCTTTTTATAGCTAGCACGCTGCTACGTGCTACGTATTAGTGGCCAGTGCCAGTGGGGGGGAATGTGCCCCACTTATATAATGGTAGGGAACCATTGGCTGGCTGGACCCTCAGCTCCTATCACATCAAAGTTAATAATAATAATAATAATAATAACGTGTTATGTATTGTCATCATTGTATGTTCCCATACAATGGCGAAATTGGCTCTCTGCATTTAACCCATCCACCCCCAGGTGGAGCAGTGGGCAGCTATTGAAAGTGCCCGGGGAGCAATTGGGGATACGACATGTGCAATGACTGTGGATTGAACCTGGGACTTTCGGGTCCCAAGTTGGCTGCCCTGCCTCTACCCCATCTCGGCCCCCATAAATCACATCATCTGTAAAACTGACTCAGTTATACTAGTTTTAGTATAACTACCGCAGTTTTGATTACCTCTAGCAGCCATTTTAATTTGGATTGACTCCAGAAGTTGTTCAATTGTAGATTTACATCTAAAGATTACTTTTTGAGTGTTTCAATAAATTACCTCCAGAGTTTTCCGAGATATATTTGCTAATATAGGTTTCTTCCTCATGAGAGAGTTTTTTCTTTCCACTGTCGCCTTCTTGTTTGCTCAAGATGAGAGTTCTGCGATGGAGTTAAACTCAAAGCAGTCTGCTCTTCAGATAAATAGTGTTAAATTATTTTTTATATATGAATGTTTCTGTTCAGTGCCCTGAGACGACTTCTGTTGTGACTTGGCGCTACATAAATGAATTGAATTGAATATATGCAAAGACATAATGTTAATATGAAGATCAGTTCCTCCAAATCCGAGGCCATGGTCTTGAGCCGGAAAAGGGTAGAGTGCCCTCTCCGGGTCAGGGAGGAGGTCCTACCCCAAGTGGAGGAGTTTAAGTATATTGGGGTCTTGTTCACAAATGAGGGAAAAATGGAGCGTGAGATCGATAGGCGGATAGGTGCAGCGTCAGCAGTGAAGCGGGCGCTGTACAGGTCTGTCGTGGTGAAGAGAGAGCTGAGTCAAAAGGCAAAGCTCTCAATTTACCGATCAATCTATGTTCCTACCCTCATCTATGGTCACGAGCTTTGGGTTGTGACCGAAAGAATGAGATCTCGGATACAAGCGGCCGAAATGAGTTTTCTCCGCAGGGTGTCTGGGCTCTCCCTTAGAGATAGGGTGAGAAGCTTGATCATCTGGGAGGGACTCGGAGTAGAGCCGCTGCTTCTCCACGTTGAGAGGAGCCAGTTGAGGTGGCTCGGGCATCTGTTTAGGATGCCTCCTGGACACCTCCCTGATGAGGTGTTCCGGACACGTCCCACCGGAAGGAGGCCCAGAGGAAGATCCAGGACACGCTAGAGGGACTATGTTTCTCGGCTGGCCTGGGAACGCCTCTGGATTCCCCCGGAAGAGCTGGCCCAAGTGGCTGGGGAGAGGGAAGTCTGGGCCTCCCTACTTAGGCTGCTACCCCCGTGACCCGACCCCGGATAAGCGGAAGAAAATGGATGGATGGATGGATAATGTTAATATTAATAATTGAAATAAGAATGTTACTGCGCTCCTACATTAAAAGCCAAAATAATCTGCTGAATTAGGACTACAACCTTGTAAGAAAAAACAATCTTCACCGTCAATTTAAAGTAATTAATATTCTGGGGAGGTCTAATTGTAAAAAGAAGGCTGCTCTATATATTAGGGGCCACTACTGAACAGGTTCTGTCTTCTCATCTGGATCGAAGAACATAAAAGCAACAGATTGTGGACCTGAGTGGCGTGCGTTTGCAAAGATGCTGCCACGGTTCAGACTCCTCTAAAGGAGCAGTACAGGGTAGAGCTACATAAATGGTGAAATGGATGGGAAGCCACGTGCAGATAGCCTACTACAGGCGTAATATGATCACGTTTCTTTTCTGGCAGAAGATAGGCTGCTGGTTTTTGTCGTGCCTCCAGGTGTAGAAGTGCAGTAAGACGAAGACCAGCATGCAAAGAATTTCTGCTCTTTAAGTGAGCTGTAATAAAGACATGAATTAATTCCTCATGGTCATGTAAGGGAATACTGGCCTTAGGCAGGTGCACCCAGACAACAGCTAAAACATATAGCTGTGATTTCTGTAAAAGATCTGTGTATGACTGTGTGTGATCAGATGAGTTTGTCTGTCACAGGTGGGACGTTTTGAAGTGAACCTCATCAGTCCTGACAGTAAAACGGTGGTGCTGGAGAAGAACTTCAAAGATATCTCATCCTGCTGTCAGGTTGTTTTTTTTTAGTTGTTGTATTTACACTACAAGTTTTAGAACAGCTTTCTGTGCATTACGTTACTCCATGCTTTAGACCTGTCGCGATGAACAATAAATGAATTAATTGCACGATAAATGAAAATTATCAACCTCATTGTTATTTATCGGCTTTACCGTTTCTTCGTGTCTTTATTTCTCAAACCACACAGAGTGTCTGCCATTTTGAGAACCGAAAAACGAGAGAGACAGACCACTTCACGTCAAGGGGCCTCCCTCCCATTTTTCTTAAAGAGACACGCTGCTCGCTCCCTCACTATCCATCCTTTGGTTCAGACCATTTTATACTGCCATCCAGTGGTCAAAAATGGTACTACATAAAAATTAACCAACATTTCTTTTTAAATTTGACAATTACTAATTATTGTCAAATTTCAAAAAATATTATCGTTTATCGCAATAATTTCTGAGATAATTAATGGCCCACCGAAATTTGTTATCATGCCAGGCCTACCATGGTTTATTAGTAATTTAATCAGTACAGAAGGTTTTTGATTCTTGATATTTCAACCGAGGAAACAACCTAATCAGTAATTCTGTGGAAATGTGGCTCTGTTTAATGTGTGATGCTGATACATTTCTTGGAACAGGATCTCTTCATGAAAGGGATGCACTTTAGAGTGGTTTCAGTTATTTGTTGATAAAATTGAATTAAGGAGCCATTACAGAGCTGCTTGCTGTTCTTAGTTGCAGCTTGTTTTATTTTTGTACTTTCCTAATTGTCTTGTCTTTGACCCCCACAGGGCGTTAAGCAGACAGACCACTTTGGATTCATCTGTCGGGACCAGTCCGAGCCCAGTCCCAGTCAGTACGCCTGCTATGTTTTCCAGTGTGCCAGTGAACCCTTGGTGAGCCAAGCAAGTTTTGGAATGGAAACTGACTCAGATCTGACGTGCGTATGGTGATGAGCTTTCTGTGCGTGTCAGGTTGATGAGGTGATGATGACTCTGAAGCAGGCCTTCTCCACCGCAGCAGCCTTGCAGAGCAACAAGACCCCAGTTCAGCTCTGCCAAGCTTGCCCCATGCACGACCTGCACAAGCTCTGCGAGAGGATTGAGGGTGAGCATGAAGCCACACACCCAGCCCATCTCTGCATGTCTTTATACTGATGCAAGAGCTGCTTCACTTTTCTTTTCAGGTCTCTACCCGCCTCGAGCGAAGCTAGCCATCCAAAAATATCTCTCCCAGCTGAATGACAACGAGCAGGCAGAGATTTTTGAGCGAGTTCAAGTAAGGTTTAGCTCTTGTTAAACACATCGCACTTTTTATCTTCTATCATGACACCACTTGTTAGTGATTGACTGGTAGGAGTTGTTTTCTTGCATCTACTTGAGATCTGAGCTTTTTCCGTGTTGATTTTTAGAAGTATTTGTGGGTGTATTTCTGCAGAAACTGAAGCCTGGGTCAGACCAAGAGGAGAACGAGTTGGCGATTCTCCATCTAAGACAGCTCTGTGAAGCCAAACAAAAGTCCCATTTTCATATCGGAGAGGCGCCTCAGGTACAAGCTTCAGTCAGCACAAGATGTGAAAACAACAGTGCTTTGAAAGAGTTTTTTTTAATCCACTTTAAAGTTATTAAAGAACTGAACTATAACTATATATGTATGGTAATTTGATTTTATGGTAATTTGTTTGTAGATTTAAAAGGGTAAGAACACAGAGAATCAATTTGAAATATTGTATTGTAGTATTTTTGTCCCCACATAAGTGCCTTTGAGGGTTTAATGTTTTTTCCTTAGCTTTTGATTCTTAGATGCTGCGGTTCAGGGTGTAATGATCAGGAGTTCAATCATTTTTTTTATCATACTGCAAATTTGTCTTGATGGTTGCTTAAGCCACAGTTCAACCTAAAATCTCAGTATTATAAAAATAATAATAATAAAGATTCAAGTCCAAGAAGGTTTTATTATAATTTGCATCACATGTGGTGCATGAGGTGGAACAAAACTGTACACAGTGTCCCACTTACATCCAACAATAGTAAAACTATAAATTGTCAAAAGAAACAGTAATAAGGCTCTAAGATATAAACTAAGAATACACTAAATACAAATAGTGCAAAAACAATTAGTCTAACAACATTAGCACAAACATGAGTCTGTGTGAGCAGATGAGTATGAATGAACACAGCAACATGAAATAATCAGCAGCATGAGATCAGCATCATGGATAATCAGCAGTATGGTTAATCAGCAGCACATATCACCAAAGTGGCATTACAGTGATTTTTTTTTTTCACATTGATTATTCTGGTTAGATATTCATGAGTCTAACAGCCTCAGGGTAGAAGCTGTTCCTCAGTCTAGTGGTTCTACACTTAATGCTCCTTAACCTCCTTCCTGAGGGGAGCTGGGCAAAAAGTGTGTGTTCTGGGTGAGTGGGGTCCTTCATGATGCAGGTGGCCCTCTTCCTGCATCTGGAGGTGTAGATGTCTGTGATGGTGGGGAGACAGACTCCGACAGTCTTCTGTGCAGCCTTCACCACTCTGCAGAGTTTTTCTTTCTGCAGCTGTGCAGCCTCCATGCCACACGTTGATGCTGGAGCACAGGATGCTCTCCACTGCACACCTGTAGAAGGAGGTGAGGACTGAGCTTCCCAGTCCAGCTCGTCTCAGCCGCCTGAGGAAGTAGAGTCTCTGATGAACTTTCTTGATCAGGCTGGTGGTGTTGTTGCTCCAGCTGAGGTTGTTGTTCAGGTGTACACCCGAGTACTTGTATCTGATATGTGAGCAGAGTGAACAGGAGAGGGCTCAGCACACAGCCCTGAGGCAAGCCAGTGCTGAGGGTTATGGTGGAGAAGTTGTAGGTCCTCACAGACTGCGGTCCGATGGTTAAGAAGTCTAGGACCCAGTTGCATAGGGAGGGGCTTAGCCCTATTGTGAACAGTTTGTCCATCAGGGTCTGGGGAATCATGGTGTTGAAGGCAGATGTAAAATCCACCAAGAGCATACGGATGTGGGAGTCCCTCTGACTCCTGGTATTCTGGTATAATGTGGTTCTATGTGTTTCTTTGCGTCTTAAATTCTCATTTTGTTAAGATCATCTCATCAGATTATTGGGGAAAAAAACTTGTTGTTGCACATCTGTCTGATTAAGTTACCTTTCTATTGTCAGCTTGGGTCTAGTAGTATTTACAACTTTTGATTCAAAATGATTTTGCCCATGTCTGTATGTGCGTGCATGAGTTGTTATCTGTGGCATTACCAAACTATCTCATGAACCACTGGACAAATTCTGATGAAACTCAAAGTAATCTCATTAACATGTGGAGTCAACCAGACATCTGCCACAGCTAAACGAATAAAAAGATTCACGAAGCTCTTTGTGGAACCAGTACACTCTTATTGTTTTGAGCTGCAGTCTTTTCCTGGAAGTTCCAGAAACCTCCAACGGTAATACTGGCCATGAAGAGTGCTGTTTGGGGCTAAATAATCCAAACGGTATTTATAGTTTCTAGTTCATGCAGTGAAAACGTGGAGAACCAGGTTTGTGACAAATGTAAGATTTGTTAATGTAGATGTTCATCTACTGCTAAATGGACAACCAGCTGCTCCATTCCATAAATTACTGGGCAGGGGACATGGAAAGTATCAAACATAGATTATTAATTTTAAATGGTCTAGCTTGATGAATTATATATTAAGTAAAATTGCTGAGCTGGCAGAAGTCCAGCACCTGAAGGCTGTTTCTTACAGTTTTGACAGGTGTCTGCTGCATTTTCAGGTTTAATGGGGCCATCATTGCAGATAAATTTGATGATTTTTTTTCTTTCTTTTCAGAATGCAGCAAATAGCTCGGCAGCAGGAGACGGCACGGCCACCGGCAGTCGTTTCAAACTTGACGTTCTCAAGAATAAAGCCCGCACTTCTCTCACCAGCTCGCTGGAAAACATCTTTACAAGGGTGGGTCTGAGCAGAGAGGGTTTCCTCTCATAACACTGCATGCCCCTGCTTTGTTTTTGTTCAACGTTATCATAAATATGACCTTTTCTCTGCTTCTGGCTCTTATTTCTTTCCCCCTGGGTGATTATAGCCTTCATGCTGTGCACTGTTTATTTTTTTATGGTTCTTTTTGTCTCCCTGCTCTGTTTTTGTGTTGGTTGCTGTTTCTGTGTCACAGTCATCCAGGGGGATTTGAACTGACCCATATCTGCTGGTGAGACAGCAGAATAAGTCCTTGGTGGATGGATCTAAGCAGTCTGAGATCTCTGCTGCCATCTGTTATTATTTTAACTAAACGATGTTATCAAGTCTGGAAACACCTGTCCTTTTACCAGCATTAATCTGTCTATTTTTTCTCATGAACAATAAAATATAGTTATTATTATAGTTTTTATGTTTTTTAATTTTTTTAAGATTTGTATTTTTCAGAATACGTTGTAACATTGTTTTTTTTTTGTCAAATCTGTCACCAGGGTGCCAACCGAATGCGGGGCCGCTTGGGAAGCATGGGGAGCATTGGCAGTTTTGAAAGAGTAAGTGTCCTTGAAGGCAACATGAGAATTCCTGGAGCTCAGGTCAAGGGAGAGCTGGGAGTTCTCCCTTTCTGCCCTCTGGTTCTTTAAACCATGTTTTGATCCAAGTCCACTCTGAGCAGAAGAAGCGTCAGGAGCTGCTGGTGGCGCTCGGCTCACATGAACAGACACTAAAGTGTTCCCCATGTTGTTTACACAAGTTTCATGATGTAAACACAAACAGCACGGCCAAGAGGCCAAACTGAGCACCAGGGGAATGTGTTTACAGAGATGTCAACAAACGGGGGCTTTTTGATGCACTTTTAGCACTTTTTTAAAAACATGTTTTCACTTTTAATGATTAAAAAGCTGAATGAAGTAATCTGTGTTGGTTATTAGGTTTGTAACATTTAATAAATTCAATATCACTTCATTATTGTATTGAACTTGACATGTCAAATTGCTTACATCATGTTAGGAAATTCATTCGTGTTAGCCTATAAAGCAATAGTTCAGAGTTTTTGAGGTGAGGTTCTGTAAAAACCTTATAAACTATAAATAGTTCACTTGTAGGTAGCTTTTTGATTTGTCTTAGTTTGGAGAAAAAATATAATTCTGACTGGATTGTTGTGCTAATGGCTAGTCTGAACACAGCTAAGGCTGCAGATACACTGCCTGGCCAAAAAAAAGGTCACACACTAATATTTTGTTGGACCACCTTTAGCTTTGATTACATCATTCATTCACTGTGATATTGTTTCGATAAACTTCTGCAATGTCACAAGATCTAGTTCCGTCCAGTGTTGCATTAATTTTTCACCAAGATCTTGCATTGATGACTAGGCACTAGGCATGATGGGTGCATCACCTCACCTGCCCCTCTTCTTACCCTGATGCACCCATCACTCTGGAACAGGGTCAATCTGGACTCATCAGACCACATGACCTTCTTCCATTGCTCCAGAGTCCAATCTTTACGCTCCCTAGCAAATTGAAGCCTTTTTTTCCAGTTAGCCTCACTGATTAGTGGTTTTCTTAAGGCTACACGGCTGGTCAGTTCCAATCCCTTGGGTTCCCTTCCCATTGTGCGTGTGGAAATGCTCTTACTTTCACTATTAAACACAGCCCTGAGTGCTACTGTTGTTTTTCTTTGATTTGATTTCACCAAATGTTTAAGTGATTGCCGATCACGATCATTCAGCATTTTTTCCGGCCACATTTCTTCCTCGAAGACGATGAGTCCCCACTATCTTTCCAGTTTTTAATAATTTTTTGGACAGTTCTTAAACTGATTTTAGTAGTTTCTGCAATCTCCTTAGATGTTTTCTCTGCTTGATGCCAATGATTTGACCCTTCTCAAACAGACTGACGTCTTTTCCACGACCACGCGATGTGTCTTTCCACATGGTTGTTTAAGAAACGAGAAGCAACTCATTGCACCAGTTGGGGTTAAATAACTTGTTGCCAGATGAAAGATAATCACCCATGCAGCACCGTATTTTCCAGCATATAAGTCACAGTTTTTTGCACAGATTTGTCAGTCCTGCGACTTATACACTGAAGCGATTTATATACATTTTTTATTACATATTCATAACGCAATTTTTGACTGACACTTTACATTTCTGAGAACTGCAACAGCGAGTCCTCCCATGTGCTCGGTTCACTCAGCTGGTGCAGGCGGAGGAACGTTGGAGAGCTAGCGGCTCCGGCCATGATGGATGGATGGAGCTGTGCTGCCCATGCGAAATGAAGCTATTTGACCATTAAATAAAGGCATAATAAATGCGACTTATATATGTTTTTTTCCTCTTCATGATGCTTTTTTGACCGATGTGACTTATACGCCGGAAAATATGGTAATTATCCAATAGGATATTGGAGCATCACATAAGTTTTCCTGCAGAATCATTAAGAAATCACTACTGGAAGAGCCCCAAGTTGCACCCAAAATGCTACAGCTAGCTGCTGCTGCTGTTTGCACTTGCTAATATGAAGAAAAAAATTGCTGTAATGCCACTTTGGTGATATGTGCTGCTGATTATCCATGCTACAGATTATTTTGTGCTGCTGTTGTTAGGCGTATTGTTTTTGTACTACTAGTGTTTAACGTATTTCTTAATTTATATCTTAGATCCTTGTTACCGTTTCTTTTTCCCATTTATAATTTTGCTATTGTTGGATGTAATGTGAATGATAATAAAACCAACTTGAACTTGAACTCATAATTATAAAATTCTATGTAAATAGCAACAGAATGATAAATTGACTGTAGTGGGTTTTAAAATAATGTTTGCATGAAGTTCTATAAAATCTTTGGTCTTGGCCAAGCCATTAGCTCATCAGTCTAGTCAGATAAACTATTTCTGTAAACTGAGGTTGTTCAAAGAGATATCTACAAAAGGTGAGATATGAAAAATTCATGACCTTTCCTAGATTTGTACTTCAAGAAATCTGAACTATGGCTTTAGATGGACTCAGAGGACTGAGCTCGTTTATGTCCTACTTATTCCACAACAGTTAGCACAAGCTGCTGCAGATGTTCCAATTTGAAATCTGTCAAATATATTAAATTGTTAGTTTCAGACATCTGTTACACTTCAAACAGTCAGTATAACTAGTTTGCGTTGTAATTAAATGTACAAGCTGCCTTGTGGGTATTCTGTCAGGATGTGATGCGAGTCCAAGCAGGAAACCCCTCTCAGGATTTCCAGTTTTGTGTCTGGTCTGTCCTTACAGGCCTGTCACAGGACACAGAAGATAGACCTTCCTAAAAGTCACAAATATGTTTATTAGCACTAATGTTTAGATAAATGCAGACCAATAAATGACATTTTAGAAAGCGTCGTAGTTTTTGATGACAGGAACAAGCAGCACAAATGTCATTGCATGTCATGACAGAAGTTAAAGAGGGAGGTCTCTAGAAACATGAGAGGAGGAGATTAGAGGGTTTCCATGCTGAGCCGTAGAAGTGAGGTCCTCCCCACCAATAGTGTGTGATGCTCAGAGTCATAGGACATTGTCGATTAGAATACAATAGATGTGGGAGTTTTACCACCACGCATGAGGAACTGAGTTATGCTCTGCTGTGCAGAAAGCTGAACGTGGTGGGGTCTGATCAAATAGGTGAGTGCAGCTTGAGGTATTGAATGTTTTATTTGGTTTTAGGCCTCGTCTTTGGTGGTTTGACTTCCAAAGGCTTTGATAATTCTCTTTTTAGACTATCTCGATTGGCCTGCGTAGTGATAGAATGTAGCTTTGCAAGACTGTTATCCTGTTTAAAATGTCATAATAAGTTTATAACAGCTTTACAAACCCGTCTCGCTTCATTTTCTGTACTCCGCATCAGGATGAAGAATCTCCTGGTCATTCTCCTCCAGGTTCTCCACCTGCCTTCCCTGATGACGGCCTAGAATCTGGACAGCACTTCCGTCGGCGCGCTCACACCTTCAGCCACCCGCCAGTGAGGAAGCGCATCTCGTTTGAGAGCCAGCCGACCAACCAGACCAAGCAGGCTCCTCTCCGCAAGCAGCAGTCCGTCAACCCAGAGCTGCTGCAGGGCAGGTACGGTGACTTTACTGAACAAGTTCATCCGTCGCTTCATTTCTGTGAAAACAAGAGATCCGTGTGCGTCTGGAGTTCAGCAGGAGTTGCAGGGGTCACTTGTTTTGTACTGGAGTCAGATTTTGTGTTGTTTTTAAAGACGTGCTGCATTTCTTTTAATCAGTTTTAACGCTCACTAAATATTTGGTTAACCTTTTGATTTATTCTCAAACAATGTAATCTATTTTTATCGTGATCTGTGATCAGTGCAGAACCCTGTCACCTCCTGCTTCCACTGTCCTCAGACAATAGCATCACAAGTTTCCCGTCTCTGTTTGATCCCTCATGAATTCTTCTGTATTTTGTCTCCTGTCCTCCCATCAGAAAAGTTTTTCCCCTCTTTGTGTAACTGGTTTTTATTTGTGGGCATTACATGTTTGACCCTGCCCAGTCCCGTGGCTGTCTCAAGGACGCGCAGCATTTCAGAGAGCGAGTCCTCCTTCAGCCTCCCCTCCTCCTTCTCTGCTCCCACTTTCCTGAAAAGCTTTTACCAGGGCTCACTGGGCTCCCTGAGCTCGCTGGCAGACAGCGGGAACTTCAAGAGGTGAGAGGGGGTGTGCAGACCCCCCACCCCCCTTACAGATTAAACTCAAAGGGTGGTGAGATGAGTGGCAGGGAGCAGCTGATGTTTTGCTAAGATGGCAGCAGCCGGATATACGTGTTGGCTCTTGAAACCTTCTAACACTCAGCTTTTATTGTCCTGTTTCCTTTTCCTAACCGTCTTCAAAAACATTTTATTCATCAATAAACAATTTGAAGCCCCCCCCCCCCCCCCCCCCCCCCCCCCCCACACACTGTTTGCAGCCGGGCCCACCCTCTTCCTGTTTAGCTCTGAAGCAGAAGGGGACGCTGATACAGCTTTCACTTGTTGGATTTGCATGAATATTTAAAACTTTTCGCATGGCAAACTCCTGTATATTACCGTATTTTTTGCCCTATAAGTCACATTTTTTTGCATAATTTGCATGCCCTACGACTTATAGGCCGAAGCGACGTATTTGTTTTTGTCCACCTTTATAAACCAATTTTTTGGCTGAGATATGACCGTTTTCATTCATTCTGACTGAAAATATTGAACACTACAATTTTCAACCACTAGATGGCACTCATGTAGTGTGGCATGCGGTTTTATCATGTAATATGTAAAAGTGGCTATTAATGACACAATCGGCTTGCCATAGACTGCCATCGTCGTCTACCTGGAGCAACCGTAAAATCGGCTTCATTTTGCAGCGCCGACCCGGCAAAATGAAGCTGATTTGACCACTGAAGTGCATTTATTAAATAAAAGTTAAACTGAGACACACCTTTACTATAATGTCGAGCAAAAAAATAATAGTTTAAGTGGTTATCTTGTTAAATTTCGAAGAAATGCACAGCAAGTCGTCCCTCTGCGCCTTCATATTTCCGCATATCGGCTTTTGAAAATGCAGCTGATATGACCATCTGAGAGCATTTATTAAGCAAATGTTAGACTGAGATACACCTTTACTATAATTTTGAGCAAACAAATTAATGTTTTTAGGTGGTTATCTTCTTAAAAATTTGAAGAAATGCACAGCGAGTCTCCCCTCTGCGCGTGCCCGCTTCTGTTAATAGGGTTTTGAAATGCAGCTGATTTGACCGTCAAAAGTGCATTTATTAAGGAAAAGTTAAACTAAGACACCTTTACTATAATTCTGAGCAAACAAGTAAATGTTGTTAAGTATTAATCTTGTTACATTATTGTTAAAGTCCTACCGTGCACGCTCCTGTGGCCGCCATTTGGCAGCCAAACGATTTTTGGCACAACACCGGCCCACATTTCCAGGTTGTAAGCGCTGACGCATAATAGATGTGACGTATACAGCGAAGCGAGGTATTTATGGATTTTTTCATTTTATTAGATATATTTGGACTGATGGGACTTACAGGTCCTTCTCAAAAAATTAGCATATTGTGATAAAGGTCGTTATTTTCCATAATGTAATGATAAATATGAAAAACTTTCATATATTTCAGATTCATTGCACACCAACTGAAATATTTCAGGTCTTTAATTGTTTTAATACTGATGATTATGGCATACAGCTCATGAAAACCCAAAATGTCTGTCCCAAAAAATTAGCATATCATGAAAAGGTTCTCTAAACAAGCTATTAACCTAACCTTCTGAATCAACGACGTAACTCTAAACACCTGCAAAAGATTCCTGAGGCTTTTAAAAACTCCCAGCCTTGTTCATTACTCAAAACCGCAATCATGGGTAAGACTGCCGACCTGACTGCTGTCCAGAAGGCCATCATTGACACCCTCAAGCAAGAGGGTAAGACACAGAAAGAAATTGCTGAATGAATAGGCTGTTCCCAGAGTGCTGTATCAAGGCACCTCAGTGGGAAGTCTGTGGGAAGGGAAAAGTGTGGCAGGAAACGCTGCACAACGAGAAGAGGTGACCGGACCCTGAGGAGGATTGTGGAGAAGGGCCGATTCCAGACCTTGGAGGACCTGCGGAAGCAGTGGACTGAGTCTGGAGTAGAAACATCCAGAGCCACCGTGCACAGGCGTGTGCAGGAAATGGGCTACAGGTGCCGCATTCCCCAGATCAAGCCACCTTTGAACCAGAAACAGCGGCAGAAGCGCCTGACCTGGGCTACAGAGAAGCAGCACTGGACTGTTGCTCAGTGGTCCAAAGTACTTTTTTCGGATGAAAGCAAATTTTGCATGTCATTCGGAAATCAAGGTGCCAGAGTCTGGAGGAAAACTGGGGAGAAGGAAATGCCAAAATGCCAGAAGTCCAGTGTGAAGCCCCCTACAGTCAGTGATGGTCTGGGGTGCCATGTCAGCTGCTGGTGTTGGTCCACTGTGTTTTATCAAGGGCAGGGTCAATACAGCTAGCTATCAAGAGATTTTGGAGCACTTCATGCTTCCATCTGCTGAAAAGCTTTATGGAGATGAAGATTTTATTTTTCAGCACGACCTGGCACCTGCTCACAGTGCCAAAACCACTGGTAAATGGTTTACTGACCATGGTATTACTGTGCTCAATTGGCCTGCCAACTCTCCTGACCTGAACCCCATAGAGAACCTGTGGGATATTGTGAAGAGAAAGTTGAGAGACGCAAGACCCAACACTCTGGATGAGCTTAAGGCCGCTATCGAAGCATCCTGGGCCTCCATAACTCCTCAGCAGTGCCACAGGCTGATTGCCTCCATGCCACGCCGCATTGAAGCAGTCATTCATGCAAAAGGATTCCCGACCAAGTATTGAGTGCATAACTGAACGCGATTATTTGAAGGTTGGCGTTTTTTGTATTAAAAACACTTGTCTTTCATTGGTGGGATGAAATATGCTAATTTTTTGGGACAGGCATTTGGGGTTTTCATGAGCTGTATGGGCAGCACGGTGGCGCAACTGGTAGAGCTGCTGCCTCTCAGCGAGCAGGTCCTTGGTTCAAACCCCGGTCCAGGGGCCTTTCTGGGTGGAGTTTGCATGTTCTCTCTGTGCATGCGTGGGTTTTCTCCGGGTGCTCCGGTTTCCTCCCACAGACCAAAAACATGCATGTTAGGCTGATTGGTAACTCTAAATCGTCCCTAGGTGTGAATGAGAGAGTGAATGGTTGTTTGTCTCGTTTGTCTCTATGTGGCCCTGTGATGGACTTGCGACCCATCCAGGGTGTACCCCGCCTCTCGCACAGTGATTGCTGGACATGGGCACCAGCGACCCCCGTGACCCAAAATGGAATAAGCGGGTAAAGATAATGGATGGATGGATGGATGAGCTGTATGCCATAATCGTCAGTATTAAAACAATTAAAGACCTGAAGTATTTCAGTTGGTGTGCAATGAATCTGAAATATATGAAAGTTTCATTTTTATCATTACATTATGGAAAATAATGCCCTTTATCACAATATGCTAATTTTTTGAGAAGGACCTGTATAGGGCGGTGCGATGTGTATGGCGGAAAATATGGTAGCTATATTTTAACTTTGTGCTTTGGATTTTCTCACTTGTGCAGTTTTTTTGGGGATTGCTGTTCAAAAACAGTATCATTTTCAAACTTCTTTTATCTTTGTCTTTAGCCAAAGTTTAGTATGTTTAGTAAAGCAAGATAAAGAGCAGCATGTCTGATCGTTCTTAGAGGTCTCTGTCTTTAAGGGCCAGAAAGTAAAGGTTAACATTTCCATTATAAATGAGATGCAGTGAAGCAGCTCGATGGAAGTATCATTTCCACTCTTTATTCTGACAGCAGCCAGGCCTCTAGTGTCAGGACTGATACAAAAAGAAGCAAGGCAGTTCCCCTTCACAGCACGTTCCCCAGAATATATGTAAGAGGTTTAAAGGCCAGCCTAATGAAAAGCTTGAGTTTAACTCTGAATATGTCAACACATTCCCAATCCGTTTTATTTTTTCGTGGTCAGTTTGGAAATCCCTTTCCCCCTAGTGGATTTTTAAACACTGTCCAAATGACTCCACCAACAGGATAACATTAGAGAGAATAGTTGAGAACCACAGGCTTGGAGCAGCAGACTCATCACAGACCCACATCATTCACATAAAGCACACATAATACCCTGAGGTTCCCAAACCAGACACCTCTCCACGACTGAGCCTTGAGATCCTGTCCATGAAAACTACAAACAGGATTGGAGACGAGGAACAGCGCTGGTGGAGTCCAAGCTGCGCTGAGAACGAGCTCAATTTTGTGCCAGAATATGGACACAGCTCCTGCTTTGGTGATACAGGGACTGGACAGTTCTTGGTAACCCAGGACTCATGCAGCATCCCCCACAGAATGCAAATACAAACAATTGGGGCCTTTCCCAGAAAAGCTAAGTGTGATGCACTAATTTTATGGTTGTGTAGAAACATCCATTCATATCTTTACCTGCTTCTTTCTTTTCGGGTTGTGGGGGGTCACTGGTGCCCATGTCCAGCTGTCACTGTGTGAGAGGCAGGGGACACCCTGGACATGTCTCCAGCCCATCACCAGGACACACAGAGACAAAAATCATTCACACAGTTACCTTGGGACAATTTAGAGTTACCAATCAGACTAACATGCATGTTTTTGGTCTGTGGGAAGAAGTTGGAGTACCCGGAGAAAACCCACACATGCACAGAGAGAACATGCAAACTCCACCCAGAAAGGCTCCCCGGCCGGGATTTATTCCGGTCAGCCTTCTCACTGGGAGGCAACAGCACTACCAGCTGAGCCACCGTGCCACCAGTAGAAAATGCCACGGTGCAGCATGGTGTGTTAAAAAAAAGCCTTTATTTAACCACCATCAATGTTAGAGATGGACTCTTGGAGTTTGGAAACAACTTGTTTCCACATTTGTTGGAGTAAATTTCTACATGTTGGATTCTCTGACATGTTTAATGTTTAAAATGTAAATGGACTGTACTTATATAACACCTTTCTATCTTATTTCAAGACACTCAAAGCACTTTACACTACAATCTGTGTCCTCATTTACCCATTCACACAGCACTCTACTAGATCTCTACAAAGCTAATCGAACAAATCATTCTAAAGAGACTAATCAGAGCTTTAGATCACATTCATACACTGATGGGACACACATCAGAGGCTATGAGGGGTTCAGTGTCTTGCCCAGGAACACTTCAACATGTGACTGCTGGTGGATTTGAACCCCCAACTCTTGCATTGGAGGACGACTGCTCTAACCACTCAGCCACAGCTGCCCTAAAATGTAGTGAAATCACACTTTTACAGAAATCCTAAAAAAAAAACCAAAAAAAAAAAACACTGTTTCTTTCTACGCAAACAATCAGCTTCTTTTTCTGAAGGTACCTGCATGCATGCACCTTAACTGATCTTACTCTCCTGTTTGCTGCTTTTTAACTTGGATACTGGAAATCGGTGAATGGCTGTTTAATTTTCCAGAATATTCCATTTGTGATCAGTCAGGAGACTTCTGTTGTATGCATTTGTCTTAAGTCATGCTTGTGCGCTGAAGGTTACACGTGCTTGCATTAATAAAAGGTGCTTTGAAGAGGGTTGGTGTAACGTGACGCCTTGCGTTTTCAGCAGGTGTCTCTGACACAACTGTCTTCTATTGTAGCAATGGGGAAGGCAGGAAAAGAACCCTGTCAAGCTGCAGCAATGACTCGCTGAGTGGAGGTCTCCCTCAGACCCTACACAGGGTCTCCTGGAGACAGAAGATCTTCCTGAGAGTTGCGTCACCAATGAACAAGCCATCTGCATCCATGCAGCACACAGGTGCAGTAACACAATCCTTTTAACAGTTGTGCAGCGAGTTAGCATTTAATGACACGAATAATTCACAAGTACACAGAACAAAAGCTCAGTGCATATAGATTTATTTTTTATTTATTTTTAAGAAACTACATAGCTAAATGCAGCTAAGTAAAATAAAAAGGTTTAGCTTTTAACATTTGATTGTTTTATTTTTAATGCGTTGGGAGGGTGACTGTAGGACCTCTGAGTGTGTCGAGGGGCGTCTGGCACCAGGATGTTATGAACTGGTGGTGTGGCTGATACTCGCCACTCACAGCATGTGTGAAGTTTGAAGGTCAGATAAGCAAATGGACTGTACTTCCCATGTTGCTCATATTCAAAAAGCGTTCAATACAAAAGTACATGTTGCTCATACTGTTTCTGGACCAGTATGACAGTGTGACAGGGTTAAGAAGTTGTGGTTTAGAGCAGTGGTTCCCAATCCTGGTCCTTGAGGAACATCATCCTGCATGTTTTAGTTGTTTCCCTGCTCCAACACACCTGATTCTGTGCTTTAATTACTTCCTCATGTTCTGCAGAAGCCTGTTAATCACCTATTAATTAAAATCATGTGTGTCGGAGCAGAGAAACAACTAAAACATGCAGGATGGTGTTCCTCAAGGACAAACGTTGGGAACCCCTGGTTTAGAGGACCTAAAGTGCAAATGTTGTTGCGAAGGTATTAAATTGAGCAAAAACTTTATTAAAATGAAAGGCTTATCATTAGGGGTGGCCAATTTGGCTCAAATATCATATTGTGGTGTTTCAGAGCATTCTGACGATAACAATAAATTTTGTGATGTAATAAAACAAACAAACAGAAATCGTAGTTATTTATTTGACAAAATTAACTTAACATGTTGCTTTGCAGTATTATATA